TAAACTAAAGAATGTAAGGAAAATAATGTAAAATTTTGAATATAATATATGTATATGTATATATATATATATGTGAACAAGAATTTACCGGTGTCGTATTTGATATAATGAAGTACAGTCAGAGAAAATACTATTTCTTCTGTCAGAGTTGACCGCAGAGTAATCATTTTGCTTGTTTCTCTCTGCTAAATAACGCAGGAGCCGATTAATTACAAAAAAATCAAGAGATTTATTAGATTTGTTAAAAGGCTTTAAAATAAATTACTATTCTTCCTGTAGTAGTGGCCATATCTGAGAGTAATTTGTAGATCAGAAATGGGATCAAATAAAGATGCAGAACGAAAATTATGAGCAGGATATTCAATGTGTAAGCCATCAGCAGTTGTAAAATAAAGCCATTTTATGTGCATCCAATAATCTAAATGCTGCTTAAATAGACGAGTTAAGTTGGTCCCAGGATTAAATGAAGTAGAGGAGAAATTGCGAGGAACCAGGTAACAGGATTTGCGTCGAGAGACGCGACAACCATAAGTGGATTCATGTCTAAAAATAATAATTTAAAAATAGAGGAATATACCTGAGATCTCGTTCAGATAGGCTACAACAATTGAGAAGAGAAGATAAGCTATTTCTTTCATGAGAACGATACAGTTCAATTATAAGGCTTTTGGTGTTAGAGACCAAATAGCTGTAGTCACGAAAGCGATTAGAAATTTGTGAATGAAGCTAAAATTGTAAAATAAAATAATATACAAAAAAACATCTAGCATTTTGAAGTGTATTGAAGGATAAGGCATAGACGTACATTTGCTAAATTTTTATCATCCACATCAGAATTGTTAGTTGGAATATCTTCATATTGCAAATTATCAAAGATACTTTGCATTGCGATAACACCCATTTCATCACGTGCGAAACGCATAAGATTTGTTTCTAAGAGTGAGGCATACTGAACAACATTCGGAAAATTGTGTCTTAAGGTAAAAGCATGTTGTTTATGATTCGATTTGTCGGAGCTAATTATGTTTAACTGATCAGTATGCGAAATGTCTGAGTCCTCCTATAATGTAGGATATTCGTCATAAATAGAAATGAATAGGTAAAATAAATACAGCAGATTAAGCTCACTTTCGAGGTAAGATTATTTTTGACAGAATTAGCAAGTTTTCCTGATAGGACATTAAAAATCACAACAAATTGAATATAGTAAATGAGGTTAAATATCATTTTTCCACTTAAAAATGGAGTTAATGTAATCGGCATATAACAATGCCGACATAAGCTAATCATAAAGTCGCTAAAGTAAAGTTAACTAAAACAAATATTAGATTAATTTCACTTATTATTTTTGCTATATAAAGTGTTTTTTTGTTTTGTTATGATTTGGAATATGTTAAAGATTTTGCGAGTTATAACGGCTCTTTTGATTTATCCACATGTCGGTGACCTTCCAATCTCTGGTTAGTCCGACTTTTTATTATTGTGTCTAGGGTCTAAATGAGAATGTTTGCAAGGCTTGTTCATTACTCGGATGGGAAAAACCATTTGATATACAAGTATGCTCAATAAAACCGATCTTACAGGGCAAAAATCTTGTTGCGCTGGCCGAAACAGGTTCCGGAAAGACCGCTGCATATGCCCTTCCTATAATTCATGTTAGTATTATTTTAGGCTTATATCA